GTATGTCAGAGTAGAACTGAGCTCCGTAGGTTTTCAATTGTTGATTTTTTAGAAGTAGATTACCAGATCCTTCTTCTGAGGCACTTCTGGGTGGACTTGAACCTCCAACCTTTTGGTTAGCAACTGAGGTGTTAACTGTTTGCACCACCCAGGGACTTAGCTGGAGGTCTATGAGGTGCATTCTCCTGGCCTCCACACCCCTTGTCCCAGCACAGTGTTTGGCACATGATACTCCCTGATCACTTCACTCACCTAAAGCCTGCTAGTGACTCCGTAGCATTTAGAATAAAATCTAGATTCTTCCCACTGCCTTCACAGTCCCACGTAACCTTGCACCCACTTCCTCGCCTTTCTCATGTCCTCCCAGGCTTCCCTGCATTCTCTGTGCTCCAGGACCCTGTCCTTCCCCACATCCCTTAATCATGTCATGCTGCTTCCCATCTCGGTGCACATCCACCCCTAGATCACAGCATATGGGGCTTCTTCTCATCATTCAGTCCCCTCGGAAGGGTATTTCAAACTACTAACCTCAGATGGCCTTTCTTCCAACCCCATCCTGGGCTCCTTCCATCATATGACCCTATTTAATTGTCTCTTCATACTTCTCACTATTTTTAAGTATTTTGTTTCTGCATTTGCCTGAAATATAACAGACTATAAGGCCCGTGACAGGAGGGATGCTGTGTTCCTGGCACTTGAGGCAGTGTGTAGCACATAGCAGGTATTCAATTAATCTGTGATTTATTTAACTAGTGCATGCTTGTAGAATAAATACGTGTATAAATTGCACCGGACACCCTCAGGAATTCATGCATTTACTTATTCAACAAACATGTATTTTTTATTTTAAAAGCCACAGTGGAAAGCATGTCCTTGTGTTTCAGAAGGGGCTAAGCTGCAGCGGCGATGCCTATTATACATTCAGGAAGCATAAAAGCCCACTTGTACACTTCCTAACAATGCTAAAGTGTTATCAGACACATGCTTTGATGATTCTTACGTTACAACGTGTGCATTTGAGGCAGTTACCCTATTCCAGAGATGTATTTTTCAAAGCTTGACTATTTTATGAGTCACTGGTCACCTATGTGAATATCACCGCCTCGGCTGTGATGGAGAATAATGAAATGCATATTAATTAGTAGCATGGTAAATGGCAACACTGAGGAGCCGACCACTGAGCCCTAACTTTTCACTTTGAAGATATAAGTTTATGTCATTGTCATATTCCCCACACTTCTTACCAAACAGCTAAGACTCATCTACAACAAAGGTAAGACGTTTGTCTCGGTAAAAGGACACAAATGAGAAAAATGATGTTGATCTCTGTAATTACTTAACATGCTAAACAGCAAGGTAAGGAGGGAGAATGTCAGAGAAATGTTATACTTAAGTTTATGCAACAAATAGGGGGTGCAGGCAGGAGGACTGGAAAGGGTAAATACCAATAATATAGACTTTTCCTTTCAGCTGCTTAAAGAGATGAATTCCACCATTTACCTTTTTTTAATATTTAAAAGCAAACCTGTGCCCTGAAGCAAATTAGGGAAAAACAGTGTAAATAAAATGTTCTTTCCTGCGGTCTTCTGTGTGGCTTTTGGTAGACAACCCTTCCTCTGACAACTTCCCATATATGATGCCTTCTCATTCACACCTATCATTGAATCTTCCTGGAGCCCTGGTGGCTTAGTGGTTAAGAGCTCGGCCGCTAAACAAAAAAAGGTCGGCAGTTCCAATCCACCAGCTACTCCTTGGAAACCCTATGGAGCAGTTCTACTTTGTCCTATAGGGTCGCTGTGAGTTGGAACAGACTCAACGGCAACGGGTTTGGTTTTTATTTTATTTTTTTTGGTTAATCACATACATGGAGTTCCTGGGTAGTACAAATGGTTAACATGCTTAGCTGCTAACTAGAAAGATGGGTGGTTTGAGTCCAGCCAGAGACAGCTTGAAAGAAAGGCCTGGCAATTTACTTCCAAAAAATCAGCTACTGAAAACCCTGTGGAGTACATTTCTACTCTGACACACATAGGGTTGCCATGAATTGGGGCTGACTCAATGGTAACTGGTTTGGTTTTTAATGATATACATGGAACTCTGGACAACTCACCCCAAAAAGAAAATTAAGGATGGTTGATGGTTGAGGAATTTGGTTGAGGCAGGGATAGGGTAGGGTTACTTCCCTTGCCCAAGCTCTTAATAAAGGAAAGGGTGATAGCCTATTTGAGGAAGGGTGACCCACCCTTGGATAATCCCTTTAAAGAGACTGTCGGAAGTGGAAGGCAAGTAGGAATATCCCCTCTGGATCCAGCATTCTTAAGCTCTGTTTGTTTAATAGACTTACCTTGTATTTTCTCATCTGTAAAACAGGGATAATTA